TGAGGTGACTTAGGCAAAATATGGTGTGGCTTTAGATTTGTAATTACACTAGACCTTAATTAATAACAGACAAATTAACTTTTAATTATCAAAGAATAAACCTGTCCAGAGGACCTTCTTTTTTTTTTTTTACCTGGATTACTGAGATACATCAGGACAACTTTTAATTATGAGAATAAAATCATGATATTAGAAAAGAAAATCTAAAATATTACCAGAAAAAAGTTGTAATATCACGACATGCCCATGGACAAACTATGTTTGTTACTGTGCGTAATATGCTTCCATCCACATTATCTGATGACTCAATCCGTCAATGCAACCTTTAACTGCAGTACCAAACATCTTCCATTTATCGTGTGAATCCATAGAGTTAAGTAACATCAATAACTAAAGTATAACTTCAAAAGATGCTCAACGTTCCTTATTTTATAGCAGTGGAAAGACTGCTTTTCTCTGTATTTTGATCATATTTCAACATTATTTTGGTAATAGTGAAAGTTTACCTCTCAAATTATTTTTGACTTATTCTCTTAATATTTTGACATTATTCTCGTAATATTTAAACTTTCTTCTCAAATTATTTTGACTTTATTTGCATGTTTTTACTCAATTCTCTCAAATTATTTCAACTTCATGACTTTATTCTCCTATACTTTAGATTTTCTTCTCGTTTTAATTTGACTTTATTCTGTATGACGTTTTTCTTATAACATGACTTTATTCTCTTAATAAAGTATCAGAATATGAAGGGAATGAGATATCAATAAACAATTTTTACTGGGCTAAAATATTAATTCTCAACTATTACCAATTCAAATTTGGTAACAGTAGCATAAAATATGAATATTTGAGACATAGTACAATCCAACATGTCTCATTTGCACATTTGTACACCTGTACAATATGTGCAAACTGTACACTTTGTCTAAAACACTGTAATTTCTAAATGCTTCAACACAGGGACTTCACTTTGGGCTCAAATTAAAGATAGAACCTCATAAAACACATTCTACCATCCATATTTACTCACAGCATGATTAAATTAAAAAATAATATATTAGTTAAAAACAAATGTTTTGTAGTGTGGCCCTAATACTCCATCATAAATATGCTCCCAACTAGGGCTGTGTATTGGCAAGAATTTGGCGATATGATACATATCATGACAGAGGGGTCACGATACGATATATCCCGATATATTGCGATACTGTAAGCAAGGCGATATATTGCGATATATTGCAATTTTTTTGTCCAAAAATTCTATTAAATAAAAACCTCTTACAGGGGAAAAAAATGAAAAACCAAAATTCAATGGGCCTCATGCAAGAACCGTTCGTAGGCACAGATTTGTTCGTAAGTTGTGCGTACGAGTGATTTAGGAGAATTTGTGACATTCACCAATGTTTTCATATTCTAAGATTTTTTTCAGATACGAACAAAATTTACGAGTGGTCCAGACCTGTCGTATATTTTACCAGCAGTCAGTCTGCTGTTATCCAGACGGGTTTTCCTCCCTAATAACTTTATATTTCGTTAGTTTGAAGATAATTTGAGTTGAAAATAAATCACACTCCATAATTATGTTGACAATAGGCTATTCTGCTTGAATTAGAGTTATAATTTTAAATGTAATAATTTAGACTAACAATATAACGGGGGCACGGTGCGCAGCGCTGCGGCTTCTGAATAAATGAAAATGATTTAACACAGTTGTTTATACTTTTAGCAGCTCTTTTTTATTCCACAGCTGACCTGCTAAAAATGACAGATTTTCTTTTCTGGATCTCTGACAGACGGACTTCAATCTCTGAACTCGTAAAGTTCTTTTTAGTTTTCGCTGTCATTTTCATGAATGGACACTTCCTTGTATCTGAGGCAGGAAACATAGCCTGATATAGTGTTTTTGGGGTGGTAATTATGCTAATCTCCTCTCGCGTGCACAAGCAGCTGGATAGAACAGGTGGAATTTACGCAGCTCATTTACGCACGTTTCCTGAAGATAGAAGAGTTTGTTGAATCTGACATTACATGTTCGTACGAACTCTTTGTACGAACAAAAGTAAGAGAAATTTAGGATAAGAATACGAACATGTTCTTGCATGAGGCCCATTGTCTCAAAAAATTCTAATATTACAGAGACATGCCTTTGATGCATTTAGCTGTGTTCTGCTTTGTATGTATTTTATTTTATTTGTTTCATATTTCTTATTTCATCCATGTTTTCAATTATTAGACTAAATTTGACAATAAATAGTTTGAAAATATATTTTTTGCAGCTTTTAGTTTTTGATATTAATTTACAATGTGGTCACCCAACACTTAACAATAGCCTCTACCTCAATAGGTAGAGGAGCCAAATGGCTGGCTCACTGCTGCCAACTAGTGGTCAGAGGCTGAACTACAACATAAAAATGAACGGCTGGCAGGAAAGTTGACATTTTAAACCTTAATAAAAAAATCGATACAGGGCTTTAGAATATTGATACAGTATCGGGAAATGAAATATTGCGATATTTCAGTGTGTCGATATTTTCTTACACCCCTACTCCCAACACTGGGCATGAAAATGTCGGTAATCAGTTTATAAACATAGATGACATACAAATCCTTTTGCTCATGGGAATGTCCTTTAAGTCTGCCTCTCTGCCAGGCCAAAACCAATATCTCATCTCCAACAAGCTCACCCTGACATCCGGCTGCAAAACAGCTACAAGTTGGAGGTTTTGTCTTCTCGTTTATCTCCCCCGTGACATTTCCACTGCATGTGCAAAGGAGTGCAGAACACAAGATAATTAATATCCAGCTCCGCAGACCAACTGATGATGATGCATTTGTTGCTTTGACTGGTCTTTCCGAGGGGGTGGACGTAGAAAAGGGTACAAAGTTTCACAGGTTAAAAAAAAGTGTCATTGTTGAGAGCTTGTCTGGAAATTAATGGCCTTGTTAAGAAATAATTGGGGCTGTTTCCAAACTACAAGGTTGGCAGGCTAACAAGAATCATTTTCTTATTTTAATATTTCACCTTCTGCAGTGTGATCAGTGTCGACAAACGCCTCTACATGTACATTTTGATCAGTTTGTCACAGTAAACATAGGTGAAGTAGAACTCTTCATTGAAAATGGAAGCAATGGAAAAAAAGATGATGAGATGTAATAATTACCATATGTGAAACACTGAACCCCAAAATCATCCAGACAGTTGGGGGGATTGTATTACATATATGGCAGTATTTTTTTACTTCTCCTGCACAACTACAAACTCACCCACAGGTGTGTCCTCGAAATTAGCGATTTTCCCACCAAAAGGTCTGAAAAATCTTGGACTGTTTAAAGGTAGGGGTATAGTAGTAGTTTATTGAAAAAAAAAAGAATATTACTATTAAATCCATCAATCTTCTTTCTGGTTTCTGAGCTGGTACCTATGTCCTGTTGTCA